TTTGAATCTTTACTATTGGTCAGAGAGTAACCTTTCTGGGAAACGTTAGTTTCGCCAAGCCGAACTAAGGTTTCCGGGAAAAATTTGTTTCGTGAGAGGGAAACAAACCTTTTCCAGAAACCTTTTCTGGGGCCGGAAACTATGGTTTACGGCGAATGTTAGTTTCCCACTAAACTCAGGTTTCTGGGACAAATTGGTTTCACAGTTTCCACTAAACTCAGGTTTCTGGGAAAAGTTAGTAAGTTAGTTTCGCTGGAGGGAACCAAACGTTCGAGGGAAGCACACCTTTGGAAATGTCTGTTTTTTGGCGGAAACTGACGTTTTCCGGAAACGTTTGTTTTTGGGTAGAAACTAATCTTTTCCGTAAACGTTTTGTCCCAAAGCAGAAACTGACCTGTTCCGGAAACGTTTGTTTTTGGGCAGAGGCCAACGTTTTCTCGGAAACGTTTGGATCTTGGGCTGACACCAACGTTTTCCGGAAACGTTTGTTTTTGGGCAGAAATTAACGTTTTCTGGACATGTTTGTTTCATGGGAAGAAACGAATTTTGTCCGGAAACGTGTGTTTCTAGACAAACTTACCTTTTTCCGGAAACGTCTGTTTTTGGGGAGAGACCAACGTTTTCCGGCAACGTTTGTTTCATGGGAAGAAACTAACCTTGTCCGGAAACGTTGGTTTTTGGGCAGAAAACGGTTGTTTCTGGACATAATTTAAAGTTTGCCGGACACCTTTATTTACTGGGGCAAACTGTGGTATTCTGGAAACGTAGTTTTCCAGGTTTAACTAACCTTTCGGTTCAGAGTTACTGAGTTTCCTCTCGGGCCGTTTCGGAACCCCCCCCAGAGAAAAAATAGGTAATTCTGAACGGAAAGGTTAACTAAACCTGGAAAACTGACGTTTCCAGAAAACTTTAGTTTGCGCATGTAAACGAAGGTTTCCGGCAAACTTTAAATTATGTCCAGAAACCAACCGTTTCCGAAAAAAAAAGGGTCAATTTCTGTCCAAAAACAAACGTTTCCGGACAAGGTTAGTTACGGTTAGTTTCTGCCCAAGAAACAAACGTTCCCGGAAAATGTTGGTTTCTGCCCAAAACCAACGTTTCCGGAAAACGTTCGCTTCTACCCAAAAACAAACATTTCCGAAGTTCCTGAGTCAGTTTGTTTCCCACCCCCTGGCGCTCCCTCCCTCTTCCTCTCCGCCTGTGGCAGGTTTCGAAACAAACGTCTCTATTGCGCCATCATAGCCTAAAGTTAGTTCCCCTTTGAAAACAAACATTCTCGCCTCCGCCATTTGTCCATTCCGGGCACCCCGACCAGGTCTGCATGTTAGAATTGTCAGCTGACCTGCATTACCACGAACTACCTATTACAAAGCTCGGGCGCTGCGCAAGTTGCAACGTTAGGCTGAGAGCAAGCCTGAGGCGGCCATTGGCATTTTCCTAGACCTTGTGGACATCATCACCATTTTTACCCTGCGGGGCGCCGATTGTCTTTCGGTAACAGGGGATGTGCTCGTTGGGATGGGAGGAGCTTGACTGTGCAAACTGAGTAACAGGCAAATACTGGCAAATATGTTTGCAAAAAGAGAACAGCACGCTTCTTTGGGGTTAGTTATCTCTTGATGAAACGCCTCTTGTTTCCAGGCCAGATGCCGTGGTGTTCAAAGCCGCAACCAACGTGTTCTCCAGCCTTGTGAAGTGGTTGGCCTTTGGCCTTGTGGTCCCTGGACTCTGAACAGGGACATTCATGGCGGGCCTAGCCGCGCAGTTGGCAGTCATGTGAGGCGCAGCCAATCCGAAACCTTGAGGTTGGGTGAGTCTGCTCAGGTTGGCGCTGGTACGCAGGGTTTCATGGCGGAGCTCGAACAGGCAGAGCGGGTGCTTGTCTTGTGTGGTGACAGAGGCCTGAGGCTGAAATATGAGATATGTTGCCTGGCGTCGTTTTATTCATCGATGGTTGAAAAGTTGAAAGCATCAAGATGCAGACCCAATATCGTGCAATGACAGAATCTGACCCTTGCAGTTTAGATGTTTCAACGGCGGTGGCATGCAACTGGTGGCAGATGTGTGGCGCCCAGTGAGAGACGTATTGGGAGTGCTGCATGCTTGTCGCATTGAGCGCGTGACAAGCGTTTTGGCATGAGTTTGGCATGAGAAGCACAGGCTGGTGGGCTCTTTGTCTCCTACGCAATTGTACAAGTTGTGTCACGGCCTGAGAAAGCACGAGCTTGCCGCCTTCAGAACTCGTCCATTCATATTGCATGCCGTGTCAGTACACAGTCGCTAGTTATTCTGTTTTTGCTAGCAGTCCAGAAACCGTGCCTCAAAACATGTCTCCACAATTAGGGCGTCAGACGTGGTCTGAAACGATGGTTTAAACAAAAGCCAAAGGAAAGCTTCACAAAAGCCAAATAAAGCTAAGCAGTAGCTTGATTACATGTGTTTTTGTCCTTTGGAAGATTCTCTCTTAGCTGCTTAGCTGTAACTAGCTTTGATCTATTTTTTGAATGTTTAATCCTTCCCCTGTATCCATGTCTAGTCCATTTGGGGCCGGCCAGGTTTCGTGGAACCGGAAAATTAGCTATTCCCCACAGAAAAGCTGAAAATGGTGACGGAGCAAGGGTACAACGGTCCCTCCACGCGAGGGAGCTTCATGGATGGCAAGTCTTGTATAGGTGAACGAGAGTCCTTTCGAAAGCTCAATTCTCAAACATTATGAGTATACTCGTCAAGCCTAGCCAGACACGAAGCGGAACCGGAGTGCAGAAGGAGTGCCACGCTGAGCCTGGTTTTGGCACCCTTCTCTGCTTACTTCGGCGGGCCGCTGGGAGCAAGTTGAGGGGTCAATGGTAATCAATGGTTGAGGGATTCTGCATCTGCAAGCTGTCCAGAACGGTGTTCATAGACCTCAGGTTTCAGAGAGGTTTGCCAGGTGGCCAAGCTAAGATTCTTATGACGTCCTTGGCCCGTGATGAAAGACTGATGAAAGAGAGGATGCTCATAACGTTATGACCTGCGGCTCGCGCAGCGCAGCAACTGAAGACTAGAGGTCCAAAGCCCTCTGGCCTTCCGGAATGAAGGAGTCGTTTGCGAGAAGCTTTGGGTTTTGCAGGCGAAAAAAATGAGCAGCGCTGCGGATCACCATCCTGCTTGAGTAGGTTGCGTGCATCCAGCTAATGTGCTCTTGAGCCTTGGGTTTTGCGGTCCTATATTCAAATCCGCTCCCCTTCTTCTTAGATTCTTTGATTTCCTCCACTTTCAGACGAGTGTATATTGGTCTCTTTTGGTCTCCTTTTTGTTTGTTCGGGGGGTTTTGGTGGTCCTAAAACCAAGACCGTGGATCCGCCTCTTTTGCTTATTTCTTGTTTGTTGGGGAGGGTTTTTATTGTCCTTCAACCAAAACCGTGGATCGGCCTCTTTTGGTTTGTTGGGGGGTTTTGATGGTCCCTTAACCAAAACCGTGGTTGGGCCTCCTTTTTTTTTTTTGTTGGGGGGTTTTGGTGGTCCTAAAACCAAAACCGTGTATCGGCCTCTTCTGATTTCCTGTTTGTTAAGGAGAGTTTTGATGGTCGTTAAACTAAAACCGTGGTTCAGCCTCTTTTGCTTCTTTGGTTTGTTGGGGAGCCCTATAACCGAAGCCGGGGAGTTTTGGTGGTCCTATAACCAGAGCCGTGTACCTTGCCGCATCTTCAAGATCCTGTCCTTCCGGAGCCGCACCTGTGCTGTGAACTTGACCGTTTTGAGTTCCTTTTTACCTTTTCCTTTTCCCTTCGAGTTTAGTGGTAACAACAGGAACCAGGACTGTTCTCCCGGCTGTCTGGCTTCACTCTGTTGCCTCCATGCCCTGTGCATAGTTGTGGTGGACTTCTGGGTCTTCCTGGCTGCCCGGCTGCCAGAGAACGTTTTGGGGAAGAGTCCTCAATTATCCAGTGCGCAGTGAATCTCTTTCATTGCTCGCCGGTCGTTTGTTTGGTGAAAAAACGAGTGTGACATCTTCTCCGTTCTCTCATTTGCCTGCTGAGTCTGGCAGCAGTAGGCTAGGTCCGACGTCTCTCCTGACTTGGACTGATACCGCGCAAGAAAAATGCAGCGCATTTGCACCTCGCAACGTTAACTCCAGACTGCTGTGGCAAATAAGGAAACTGCAGGGAGCCAGGACCCCAGATGCACAGTGATTGGAGGAGTGTTTCAGGCGCGTCCTGTTCAGGTTAGAAGACCTGTTGGAAGGTAATCCTAAAGTCTAGATGGGAGAGCCAGTAGCGGTCAGTAGCGCTTAACTGTCGAGAGTACCATTTGCCGGCAGTCCAACAGTCCGAGCATCAAAAAAAGGGATGCCTGATCCGGCCAAGATGTGTGACTGAGGGCGAAGTGCCGTACGTGAAGTGAGTCCTCGAAGAGGTCACCGTTCACAGCGGCCCAGCCTCAGAACAAACATAGGACAAGTAAACAGGTCAGAAACATGTCGTGAATGCGTATTTATGTGTTGTTTGACTTTATCTGGAGTTGGCGTTAGGTTGCATGCATGGATCACAGCCAGCCGCTTTGCGTATTCGTCTCAACAGGTTTGCTTTTACTTGTTGCCGGTGGTTGGGGCTACACATACGATCTGCCACAATTCGTGGTAATGAATTATTGGTAGTAAAACGGCTGCGAGAGACGATCTGTGGAAGCCAAATCTTTGAACCTTTACATTCCGACCATGCACCTAGGCCCGTACAAATCTCAAAGACATTGACAGTACATGAGGATTCGCTGACTAGCCTGCTCAGTGATGCTGGCCACATTCCGTGCATAAAGTGCTTGAATGCAGGGATGAGTCTAGGATGGTGCCTCGGTGGCATCTTGGGCTGAGTTTCACAACAAGGGCCGTGACAGAATCCACAGCAACGCAAGCTGGGAACTCGACCTGCATGCAGACAAACTTGGAGCCAAGGCAAGCAATCTAAAGCAGCTAAAGCTTAGCGGAGCTTCTGCTATACTTCACAGACAAACAAGGCCGCTGCTTCAACCCCGCAAGCCTTGCAGGACGCCTTGCAAACTCCAGCAAAGTCCATGCAGATTTCTTAAACTCAGCCAGTCGGTACCTGTGCGGCATGTTAGCTGGGTCCGAAACCTCAATTTTTTTGGTGACTCCCGTGGACTCAGACTCAGAAAGACACGACGCATTCCCATTGTGTAGAAGCTTGGGTTATCACATGAATGTCAGACCTCAAATCTCTAACCCTCAGCTAAGACACCGGCAACCCTCAACCGCCTGGCCCACGACAGTCTTTCCCGTCCCCTGTGAGCTTCCGGCCCGTAAGCTGCAGTTATCCGGACATGGCTTTACTCGGGAACCACCACCACCACCACCACCA